ACTCTGACGCACGACCGTGGCTGGGTTTCATAGGTAACCACGTGCACAGTCTGGTGTATAACGGAGGCCAGAGAATGTCTCCTGACTAGCCCTGTGCTGAACGTATCAACTCACATTTGGCCAAAGCATCTTCCAGATGGAATCCACTCTTATCATAGAATCATAGAATAATAGGACTGGAAGGGACCTCGAAAGGTCATCGTGTCCAGCCCCCCGCCCTCAAGGCAGGATCAAGCTCCGTCTACACCATCCCTGACAGATGTCTATCTAACCTGTTCTTAAATATCTCCAGAGAGGGAGATTCCACCACCTCCCTTGGCAATTTATTCCAATATTTGACCACCCTGACAGTTAGGAATTTTTTCCTAATGTCCAATCTAAACCTCCCCTGCTGCACTTTAAGCCCATTACTCCTTGTCCTGTCCTCAGAAACCAAGAGGAACAAATTTTCTCCTTCCTCCTTGTGACACCCTTTTAGATATTTGAAAACCGCTATCATGTCCCCCCTTAATCTTCTTTTTTCCAAACTAAACAAGCCCAGTTCATGAAGCCTGGCTTCATAGGTCATGTTCTCTAAACCTTTAATCATTCTTGTCGCTCTTCTCTGTACCCTTTCCAATTTCTCCACATCTTTCTTGAAATGTGGCGCCCAGAACTGGACACAGTACTCCAGCTGAGGCCTAACTAGTGCAGAGTAGAGCAGCAGAATGACTTCACGAGTTTTGCTTACAACACACCTGTTGATACAACCTAGAATCATATTTGCTTTTTTTGCAACAGCATCACACTGTTGACTCATATTCAGCTTGTGGTCCACTATGACCCCTAGATCCCTTTCTGCCATGCTCCTTCCTAGAGGACACAGTACTCCAGCTGAGGCCTAACTAGTGCAGAGTAGAGCAGCAGAATGACTTCACGAGTTTTGCTTACAACACACCTGTTGATACAACCTAGAATCATATTTGCTTTTTTTGCAACAGCATCACACTGTTGACTCATATTCAGCTTGTGGTCCACTATGACCCCTAGATCCCTTTCTGCCATGCTCCTTCCTAGACAGTCGCTTCCCATCTTGTATGTATAGAACTGATTGTTCCTTCCTAAGTGGAGCACTTTGCGTTTCTCTTTATTAAACTTCATCCTGTTTACCTCTGACCATTTCTGTATGTATGTTTGATGTATGTTTTAATCCATTTTTAGGTGGTAAAACGCTTTCGTGAAGGTGGCTATAATACACTGGTATCTACATGTGTAGGAGAAGAAGGTTTAGATATTGGAGAAGTTGACCTTATAGTCTGTTTTGATGCTCAAAAAAGTCCAATTCGTCTTGTGCAGCGAATGGGTCGAACTGGGCGCAAGCGACAAGGCAGAATCGTTGTCATACTTGCAGAAGGACGGGAAGAACGGGTGAGTTAAGAAATCTCTCATTGTAGTAATTTTGAGCATTTCAATCTTATCACGAAACAATTGCATGAGGGTTGATTGAAATCCAGGGGAGCCTGATGATGGTGGTGAACTCTTTGCATTAATAGTTCAAATATACCATTCTGGATTTGCAAATATACTTTGAGAATCCTCCTTTTGCATATGCGCATTTTAGAAATGCTGGAAATGTGGAAGTTTAGTACATCAAGCTTTCATCTCATTTCAATCTTATCACGAAACAATTGCATGAGGGTTGATTGAAATCCAGGGGAGCCTGATGATGGTGGTGAACTCTTTGCATTAATAGTTCAAATATACCATTCTGGATTTGCAAATATACTTTGAGAATCCTCCTTTTGCATATGCGCATTTTAGAAATGCTGGAAATGTGGAAGTTTAGTACATCAAGCTTTCATCTCTCTCCCCCCCCCCCCCCCCCCCACCCCCACCCCTCTCCACAGCTTAGTGACACTGAAGCACCTTAACAGGGAAAAAAATTGTAGGGAAGAAAAATTAGTTGCACTGTGAAAATCTGTTTATGGTCAAAAACAAGGTAAAACCAAACCTGAGATCCCTTTTAAGGGTTTCAAGCTTGTGTTAATTTATTCTGTTATGAGGCCCTTACATAGGATATTTTCCTCTGACAATCTTAGCTCTCTTTTGTTATCCCTTTGTTAAACTATTTCCTTTGAAAGCTATTTTTCCTTATTGTTGGTTAAGGCAATACGGTATTTTTCTTTGTTCAAACTGGTTAATGTTCTATCACCATGGAACATGATTTAATATCAAGATAGATTTCAAAGTCAAATATTCCTAATTTTGCTTTGCATTTCTTATTTGTAGAATAGTATGCCATTCTTTTCAGAAGAAGGCGCTTCTTTATGTTAGCAAAAAACATTCTCACAAAGACAAGCCACAAAATCTATGTGCTTTTAAAAAATAATTGTTTTCTCACTGATGCCTTTTTCCTGCTCCTCTTCTGTGATGATTACATTTTTAAATAGGAGTCAGAAAGGGACTTTGGTTGCTAACCTTTCAAAAGATTTTTCTTTCTTCTTTCCACATACAGGCAGTCCCCGAGTTACGCGGATCCAACTTATGTCGGATCCGCAGTTACGAACAGGGCTTTTCTCGCCCCGGAGGACTGGAGCGGCGGGACGCCCAGATTCTGGGCAGTCCCGCCGCCCCTGTCCTCCGGGGTGAGAAAAGCCCCATTCGTAACTACGGATCTGATTTAAGTCGGATCCGCGTAACCCGGGGACTGCCTGTAATTGATAGACTGAAGCAAATAAGATTGTGACTTGCTTAAGTTCAGAAAATAATTGCAGAGCTGGCAATAGAGTCCAGGAGTCAGGAGGGTAGGAGTCAAGTAAGTCTTGTGGAAAGCCCCTTGCAACAGCAGTGCTGTGTGTGAGATCTGAGGAGATCTGCATAAATGGACATCTCTAACAGAGCTGAGCATCCCACCTCAGCTTAACAGTCTCACTTGATACTATTCTGGTCCAAGATGTGATGTTTGTATCTGGCAGAGATTGTGAGATGGCAGAGATTTGATTCCCAGACAAGACAGAGATGTGATTGCCCTTCTGAGCAGTTCCTCAGGGATACTGTATTTGAAAAGAAAAAAGGACGGCCATGTGGTCTTTAAATGTTAAGTGGATATTTTCAGTTGCCACCCATAAAGTCTACTTGATTGCTGTTCATGTGGAAAAGCTCCCTATATCATGGGATACTAATGTGGTCCTTTGCTGAAGCTTCCTTTTGAAGCATTGGGTTCACGTGGAGGTAGATGGTTCTGATCATTCGTTTGTAAGCATTATAGAATCATAGAATAATAGGACTGGAAGGGACCTCGAGAGGTCATCGAGTCCAGCCCCCCGCCCTCAAGGCAGGATCAAGCTCTGTCTACACCATCCCTGACAGATGTCCAAACACCACTTTTGGACAGGAGCTAGGAATGGTGGGAGCAGGCAATCATTTCTCAGGTTGGCAGCCAAAGATTTTGAGAGCAACTAGAGTAAGAAAAGGTATGTGAAAGCTCAGCCCTATAAGTTCTAAAGAGAAAAAATATTCAGGACGATTGTCTGACACAACCATACAGATTCTTCTTCGAGTGCTTGCTCATGTCCATTCTGATTGGGTGTACGCGCGCCGCGTGCACGGATTCCAGAGCTTTTTTCCCTTAGCAGTATCCATAGGGCCAGCAGGGAGCCCGCTGGAGTGGCGCCGGTATACTGGTGCATATATACCCCTGCTGGCCCTCCCACCCCTCAGTTCCTTCTTACCGCCCGTGAGGGTAGCTGGAGCGTACTTCAGGCTATTGCCTATCTCTTAGCAGCTTATCTCTTATCCCTTGTATTATAGTTCACAGTTGAAGTTTCTTATCTAGTTGAGTAGTTGTTAAGTATTGTAAATAGTTATTTAGATAAGGGAGCAGTGGAACCCTCCCTCGAGGGAGGGCATGCCAGGGCCCCAGGGCTTTAAACCCTGTGCCTCCTGCTCCAAGCCTATGCCCTGCGGAGATCCCCATTCTGACTGCCTAAAGTGTCTGGGTGAGGCCCATCGAGCTGAAAGCTGCTCTATCTGTAAGAGCTTTAAGCCCCGGACTAAGAAGGAGAGGGACTCCCGGCTGAAACTCCTGCTAATGGACTCGGCACTGCAGCTTCAGAGCGAGGAGCGGCCTCACTCTGCCCGCAGCGCACTGTTGGCGGCACCGTCGGACAGCAAGGCACCGAGGCGCAGATCGTCACCGGTGCCGAGGGCCTCTAAGAGCTCGAGGGGACGCTTGGCAGAGAGGAGTGCCCAGAAGGTGCGCCCTAAGGAGGGGCACCTTTCTTCTAAGTCCTCTAGAAAGAGGCGCAGCCCGGACAAGGGCAAGAGTCCTGGGCAGCCCGTGGGGCTAGGAGAGGTCCGTCGGCCCTCCACCCCAGAAACTTTTGAGGCGGCCCGGGACCTCATTCACATGGCTGTGGATGAAGGGGAAGGCCCGGTGCCGCAGGAGCAGACCGCGCCGGCGCCGGCCTCAAGTGCCCCCCAGCAGGACATGGCCAGGTCGTGGGA